TAATGGAGCAGCCACGATATATCTGCAACAGAAGGAAGAAAAATGGAGGAATTAAGATCAAACTTTCACAGCATTACCACAACAGTATAACAATACAATATGTGAGGACAGAAGACAAAGTGCATAATGTAAGAAAAGTTATGACAAAAGTGTAGATAATTTTTTACTTGCCTACATAAGATAATCAAGCATTTATGTGCCTAAGAAGAACAACTTTAGTAGAAGTTGCAAAATTTTCAGAATGTACCAAACTCTGGCAACCATGCACACAGTAAGTCTTCAGCTTCAACAAGCAATGCCATCATTTTCACGAGTTCTTTCAGTTAAATTTCACATTTTGATATTTTTTATAACCAAATTGTGCATTTTTTATCTAAAATTCATTTAAAAAATATGTATTCATGAAAATAGCTTGCGGTGGAAGAAACTGCAGTAGAATTTGTGTGGGAATATAGAATTATAAATACAGTACAAAGTCTCTGAATTTCTTTTAATCATAGGAATGACTTCATAAGTAATCTATATTGTTACTTTTAAAATAGTCCTCTCCTACTGCAACAATTTTAGACCAGTATTAGCACTTCAAAGCAGCTGCTGTTTGGGAATTCTATTGAGATCCCTTTCCATATTTTACCTAATATCCTGCAATCTAGTTTCTTTTCAAGTGGTTTTTAGGGTGAGAAATATGAAAAAGTCACAATAGGGAAGATCAAATGAGTGGGGAAGCTGGGTATTTATAGGAATACTTTTTTAGGAGAAGAGATAGGAAATTCTGACACTAACATTGATGCACAACATAGAGCATTGTTTTGAAAGAGATTTTAACTTCCAAAAGACTATTTTCTGGCCATTTTCCATAAACAATATATTACAGTCATTGTAAAGCCTATCTCTACAGATTTTATTCTGTCTCAGATCGCAAGTTCATGGCACACAGGCTGTCACCACTCGCAAGGTTTCCATCTGGAAGCAGACTTTCCTGGCATCTTTGAATTTGGAGATGTCTTAACTATAATGGCATTTCTTCATTTCAGGATCATATCCATAAACATACCATTCATTTTCCACGTTGATATAAACAACAATATGAAATCCTTGGCATCATTTTCCTCCAGTACTGTGCAAATGGTCAAATGACTGCGCTTCAAATCTTTAATGAAAAACCTGGAAATAAATGTTGGCATATGCTGTTTTCCTAAGATTTTCTACACAAAGGTATTCTTGGGGTATTTATTTCTACAGTAGTTTCCTGAAAATTGCAATATGACTAAAATATTCACTTCAGCAATTCTTTTCTCCTTCCAAATGACATATTATCCTTTACAGATATTGGATCATTTTTGAAATGCAAATACCAATCGAATATTGTTCTTGGGTACATTCTGTACATTGTGTTTTTTCTGAATGCCATCTTTAATATTTTGCAAAGTCTGTATAATATTTTTTTTTATTTATTATTATTATTATTATTTTCAGCTTGAAATAAAAGCAAACACTGATTAACTGTTCCTTAGATCTTCCAATTCATACTGCACAGAGTTCCTGTTGTGTAAAGATGGCATAATAGTACCACCTTCACATAATAGTCACCAATGCCACATAAGTGAAATTATAATGAAATCATTCTGAGATGTTTTAATTTAAGGTTATTTAAAATACATACCAAGTTTTAGAGGAAAGAGGCAAATACAGATGTTCCATACATACAATGCATATATTAAATTAAAGCATAAAAAAGAATTAAAATATGATTTATGTTGGTAAGCCATATTTTAAGTTTGTTGCTGATAAGAGCACTACCTGGAAAGCATTTAAAATAGCTATAAATATCAAATAAATGTCAAAGCAGATTTGACATGCTTTTGATTCTGGAGACATTGCACAATAGACTACTACAAAATGAATACTGTATTTTATTTTCATATCCATATACTGGCCCTATTACAGACTAAACATGAATCAGTTTTTGATAGTAGATTTATTTCAAAAACATGGTTTTTGACATGTTAATATAAATAAGTTTACTGTTTAGCAGCAATTTTCATGACTTCATAAGACTTCTGGGTAAATATCAATATATATAAAATGTTTCTTTCAATAATATTTGAAACTCAGGTCTTTAGATAAATATCATATATATATATATATATATATAACAATGATATTTTCCTGTTGATCATGAAACTATCGCCAAGCAGCACAATTTAGTGCCAGTAACTCTTAAGTATGGTGTCATAACATCTGCACTACTTTTTTTTTTTTTTTTATAAACATAGATATAAATTAACTATTATAACTACATTTTTTTTAATGTTTTGAAAAAGATATCAAAACTTAGTACCTGTCTTCAACAGAACAGCAAGCAGCAGAATGTTTTCAAGGTTATTGTGATCTTACGATCAAAAAAAGTATCATAAACATTATATGGTCAACGACAAAACAGTGGTACACTAGGAACAACTACCTGCAAGAAATCTGTACTCATAAGCATTTTAAATACAGTTTCCAGCAAAATTGGAGGCCCAACGAAATAGTAAAAGTTGATGAAAGCCTTGTTATAAAGCTGGTCAAATAATCTAAGCTTCCATATGTGAAGAACTCAAAACTCCCACCAAAATTTTTAATATCTAATCTGAGAAATGTAAAATGAATATTCACACTTTATAAAGATTAATATAAAAATTTGTATTTATTATTTAATACAATTTCGTACATAATTTTATTAAAACAAATTTGAAAATTTGTTTTCCAAAGAGATTTTCTGGTGACCATAATTCAGCAATTACTGCTGACATGTTTATTGCAGACTTCAAGTTTACCTTCTGGATTAAATATTTTGCAGGAATACATATGTATTGGAATATATATTTAAAACTATACATACTAGACCATATACTCAGAAACAATTCAGGGACTGTTTTCTGTACATTGATGAAAGGAATAAAAGGGAACTATTTTCCTTTTGGGTAGCATTAATATGAAGCAATTTCCTTTAGGAAGTATTCTAGGAAAGTATACTTCCCCATACAAATAATTTTAGTGTGCTTTGCAATAAACATATAATCCATCTAATTCTTTACTTTGCATATGTTTGAGAAGGATTACATTATATTTACAAGTAGAATGAAAAGACAAATCACAATGCAATAATACATAGCATGTTACTGATTCTGAAAACATTAATAGCTACAATAAATAAATAAATATATTCCCATTCAACAAGCAATATATACCTAGTATTTGTAAGAAATGTTAAGTTTCTGCATTTTGATTTGTTGACATTTCTCAAATTAGATGTTAAAAATTTTGGTGGGAGTTTCAATTTCTCCACATATGGAAGCTTAGCTAAACATTTTAAAATATTAATTAATTGTTAGATCAAATTACCAATATATGCAATTATTATTAATAAATTTTACATACATTTTGTTCCTAAATATGTTATACTTAATATAAATGGACTATAAATTTCACATTACAGTACAAAGTCCGAAATCCGGACGTCCATTATCCGAGATGATCTAAAATCTGGAAGTCAAAACCACCGAGTTTTCTTTGTAGGCTTTACACATGTACATTTGATCCCCCCCCGTGTATAATAAAACACTGGAGAGTCCCGGTTCTTAATTTCACTTTAACACTAAATAAAATACCTTGTTAGTGAAGAAACAATCATTTTAGCATAAATTTGTATGATCAATAATTTGGCTCTGTTGCTATGTGTCTGCTTGGCACACATCCCAAACCAAACCATTTCCCATAGATACATCGTTGATCTGATGCCAACCTGGCAAATCATTATTTATTATACTTTCCTTTCATCACCGCTTGTTTATCAAAACATGCCAACTCGAGTAATGATTCTTGTAGTGATGCCTAAACATTTTTTTTTTTTTTTTTTAATGTTAGTAACTGAATAATAAAGAAGTATAGTAACTTTTTATGTTAACATTATGCTTGGTGATGATTACAGATTTCAGTTAAATGTGCTAAAAAATGTTGATGAGGAAAAATTTACCAACAATTTCTTTCCATATGCTAAAAATAGATTTTGTTAATGATACTCATAGACCCAAGGATTACATTTAGGGCTATTTGAATTCAGAATAATTGATTTGTTACTCACATAAACCCAGAACCTGTGCCAGGGCTCGTATGGCTGCACCGAGACACAGAATTTAGGACCCACAGAGACTGCATCACGTGGTAAGATATCTAGCGCCGGCCCTCAATAAGGCTTAAGTATATGTGCGAATTTATTTATATAATTTGCAAGGAACTCTGATAAGCCTTAAGCATGTGAAAAAATAGACATAAGCATAATAAATAACTAAACTAATACAATTCAGGCTTTATTCTTTCAATGCGTGATAGAAGATAAAATTTAATGGAACAATTTGTCGTTAGTCGCCAAGCTCATGATGCATAGACAAATATGTATAGTGAAGGATAACTAGATTTGATGATGATAGCTGCTAATTTTAAAGGTTTTCGGATATTACAAAAAAAAGGGGAAATTTTCAAATTAACGGATTTTCTAAGGAAATGTGGAGAAGCGGTAATAAATGAAGATGATATAAAAGAAGTTTTTCATCGTGGACAATGCTTTTATGCATCAAACAATTAATGAATGGCGAAATCTGTAATATGGTTCTAGATCCTGAAAATACTGCGAGCGATAGTAAAGAGATAGTGCAGTGACAGAGAAGTTAACTGAAAACGAGAACGTTTCGATTGACAAGTTAGTCGGAATTCTCAAAACAGCAGTTACAGGACTTCAACAATGTAACTCAACAAGAGATTATGTCTGTCTACAGAATTAAAGAGAAAGTATTAGCACAAAAAACGAAGCAACTTAAATAACTTACATCGAAAGAAATGTTTAATAAGGTAAACAAATAAATATTAAGCTTTTTTTTGTAAATTTTGATACTCTTTAGATCATAAATAGTACATTATTTCATAATGCACGAGTTAATATAATATAATACGATTTAATATAATAATAATTTAATATAATACGATTTCATAATTCCCGATTTAATAATTTTATATTTTCTACATCCATCTTACTGGATTTAAACTAATGATTAGAAAAAGTCCGAAATCCAGAAACGCCGATGTCCCGAAGAGTCCAGATTTTGGACTTTGTACTGTATTACAAATTTTAAAAAAATATATTGAAGGTTGAAGAAAATTTAAAAAGTATTACTGGAATATTATCTAAGAACTTTCAGTAATCACATTACATATTTAATACAGTGCAAAATACTTCAGAAGGCACTTTAATAAACATTTTATATTTAGGTAAATGCAAAAATATAGTTTCAAACTTGTTTCATAAACTACATAAGTACTCTCTGTGATTTATTAATTTATCAAAATCTGAAACAAAGAATGTATATGAACTTTAAATTTTATAAGTCTTTTATAAGAGATGTTAAATTTGAGAATGCTTTGACCTCAAAATTTATGGTGATTAGACATTCTCTCAAATCTAATCACCATAAATTTTTTTTATTTGATTCCTTTTTTATCACCTTGACCTACATCTAATTTTTCTCTTGCATGAATACGCATATGAGTTTGTAAATTGTCTCTTCTACTAAATGGACGATTACATACAACACATACAAAAGGTTTCTCACCTGTATGTACTCTAAAATGCATCTTTAATGAAGGCTTACTAGTAAATCCTTTCCCACATACCGCACAAATATGAGAAGCTTCACCTATATGTACACGTAACACATGCCTCCTCAAACTGTTTTTAAATGCAAATAAACTACTGCAAAAATCACAAGGAAGCAATGTTTTAACAGTATGTCTTACAGCATGTATCAATAAAGTCTTTTTATTTGCAAATGACTTGCCACAAGTTTCACATTTCTGAGACTTCTCAATTGCCTCTTTATCTGGATGGTAGTTTAGAACATGAGTTTGCAAAGACCCTTTTTGTTTACATGAATAATTACATACAGTACACACGAATCGTTTTTTATGTTTTTCTTCAGTGTGAATGAAACGTATATGATTAATTAAATTGCATCGTAGTCTGAAAGATTTCTCACATATTTCACACGAATAGTTCTTTTTTGTGTGTGTATGCATATGTTTCGCCAACGTAACTTTACTAGCACATACACGATTACATATAGTACAGACATTAGATTTTGCATGAGTAAGCACATGCCTCCGAAAGGCACTTTTCAGCTGAAATGGTTTGTTACACGTTTCACATACAAAAGATTTTCGTTCCTTGTGCAAACGTACATGCATTTTTAAATCACATTTTTCAAGAAATGATTCGTTACATACCGCACAGGTGAAACGTTCTTTTGTATGAATTAACATATGTTCCTCTAAGGACTGTTTCTCTTTGAATGACATTCCACATGTCTGACACACATGAGGTTCTTCACCTGTATAAATCTGCAAATAATCCTTCAGATTAACTTTTTCGGCAAAAGATTCTCTACATTTTTCGCATGCATATCCTTCTTCAGTCGTATGAGTACGCAACTGCTGTTTTAAAGTGTTTTTTAAACTAAACTGTTGACTACACAGGCCACATAAAGTAGGTTCTGCATTTGTGTGAATCAGCAAATGCTTCTGCAAAGAATTCTTCAAAACTAGTTTTACATTAGAATTCATTATTGCAACTTTTGTTACTTCATGTAGTAGATATATTCTGATAGACGACCGGAATTTAGGAAAAATTTCGATTGCTGACAGAATTCAAACGCTTACTGTGCATTGTTTTACAATCAATATATAAAAATCAATATACTAAATATTCGAAGTGACACTCACTCGTATAATATTGTTTGGGAAATGATCTTTAAAATATGAAACAAAATCCATTTTATTTTTCCTGTTTACAAAAGAAATAGATTATGAACATTATCCAAATCCAAATTTCAAGTTATTCAAAATTTTCTGGTTCTTGAACGTATGTAGTAAGCAAATTAATTATCATATGGGAGCATATTTTCCCTGAAATTATAAGGAATAAATACACCTTTTAGCTTTTTTTTCATATTGCTTGTTTTTTAAACAAAGTCTTCACTTGAAAACAATAATACATTAAAGTAAGTGATGTTGCCACGAACATAGTTAATTTTCTTCTTCTTCTAGTTCTTGAAGTTTGACTTCCTTTCGGCGCTTTGCGCTCCTACACATGCACAACGAACTTTTTTTTTTTTTTTTTTTTTAATTACAAACGAATTTTCTCCAACCAGAGAGAACGTCAGACCTGTAAAAGTATTTAAAAATTCTGAATGCATTTGGTGATAAAGTTTCCTAAAATTCGGTATCGCTAGGGATTCTTATTGCAGTGGGCAGCAAATTCACAAAGCCTACAGACCAATTCTGTTACTGTTTGCTCCGATTGGTTAAAACAGGAAACGTAGGGTCACAAAATCTTGTACTTAGCGACTTTTGCTTAATCCCCTATATTATTTGTATATCAGCCTTGTATACCGAAAAAGTATGCGAAAGCAAACGGCGAAATCGCAGCTCATCGGTAACGAGGATGAAAAACTTCCTCGGACTTCTAGATCGTCGGTTCTATCCCCCCTCGTGACTTTTACGATCTCTGCTCTGGACGGATTTAATTTTATCCTTCTTAACTGACTTTTTTCATTATTGGTCTTTTCGCCTTCGGGTGCGGCGTTAAAAATTTAGCACCTTCATTCATTCATTATTGTTACGAATTTGGTATTTAAAAAGCTAACGTTAGTTCAATTATAAATTAAAAGGTTTTATTTCTCGCGCAGTGCAGCGCGTAACGAATATTAAAAGAAAGCTAAGCAGGAAAATTGAAAATACAAGAGCGCGTGCATTAAATAAATAAATATCTCTTTTTGATTTCGAGAAAGTACTGGAAAATTCTAGCGCGTGATTTTAAAATCTTATAAAAGGAGGAAAACATCTCAGTTTGTAGTAGTTGCTTAGTTTTTGTTGTTGCTTAGAAAACTGCTCTTGTTGATTGTAGCGAATTCGCGGATTAGCGTTCTTTAGCTGTTTTGAATTACGTTCTATTGGACATTTGAGTAGTTAAAAGATAACTACTGTGAGATATTGTAATACTGCATGATAATTTGAGAAAATTTAAGCATTTTTGTTGTGATAATAATAAATTTTTGTTCATTTTTCATCGGACTTGTGCATTCATTTCATAACGAACCCGTACGCACGCAACAATTTTTGGTGTCAGAAGTGGGATTTGAATGCCAATAACAAGAGCGATGGAAGAGCAATTAAGGCAGTTGATCTCAACAGCCTTTGCCTCGTTTGAAAGAAGATATGAATCTAATCAGGAAAGGATTGAAGCGGGACAAGAATCCGTTAAGGAAGAAGATGGAGGCCATTCAAGCTGGTCAATTAACTTTTAAAGACGAAATAAAAGCCGTACAAGTAAAGATTGAAGAAAGTCAATACGAAATGAAAAGAGAAATTACCTGCATAATAGAAAATAAATTTGAGGCTATGGAAGGCAGAATAGATGCAGTTGAAAATAAAGTTGGACAAATTGAAGAAAAAGTTTCTTCCGTAAAAGTTCAAATTGAAAAAAGTTTCTTCGGTGAAAGAAGAAATAGAAGAAAGAGTTTCTTCTGTAAAAGAACATATAGAAGAGGAGAGTTTCTGCCGTCGAACAACAAATTGATGATAGGGTTTCTGCCGTTGCCGAAAGAAGTTGACACTTTAAAGAAAGTGCATAGCGACGGAAGGAAGCAATTCTGATGGTTTTAAAATTCTTACCGATGCCTGCTCGTTCCATCTCTGAAGCTATCCACATATGATGGGAAGACCTCCTGGCAAGTGTATAAAACACAATTTTCTATCGTTGCGGATGCGAATGGATGGGATTCCCAAACTAAGGCCTGTCATCTCGCCGCTTCTCTGAGAGCAGACGCAGCGGATATCCTGCAGACGCTTCCCGAAAACCAAAGGACTTAGATTTCGAAGCTCTATCCGGCGCATTGGAGCTGCGCTTTGGCGAGAAATGTTTAAAAGACTACAGCAGGCTTCAATTAAAATCCCGTCAACAGAAGCCCACCGAAATCACTTCAGGAACTCGCCACGGATGTTGAAAGGCTGTCCCATCTCGCCTTTTCGGAGTGCCCGACAGAAACAAGGGAAATCCTGTCCCTGCAATACTTTATCGATGGCATCCGGGATCCCTGAAATACAGAAAGCTCTTACGAATGGCGGATGTTAAAGATTTGAAAAAGCGCTTTGTTGTACGCCATGAAATTCGAGGCAGCCCAGCAAGCCACACGTCGAGACCGCTACCCCGTGAGAGCTGCTCAAGTACAGCAGCCAGAGAATCAAGTCACTGCTCGTCTAGACGATTTAACTAGACAACTCAACGCCTTGAGACGGAATATTGGTGATAAGAAACCGACCGTTAAGTGCTGGAACTGCGGTGCTGAAGGCGACATACGACGAAACTGCAGAACACCCCAGGGACCGGATAACGGATAACGGTCTTAACGGATGTTAAGACCGCTCCTAGCAAGCAGCAGGGAAACTAATTAGTGACCATCTCGTGGGGCGGAGGTTGCTAGATGATGAAAAGCCCCAGTTTAAAGCGCTTCAGATTTCTGCAGTGAGAGGCGGCAGTAATGGACTTTTTATAATAGGACATATTAATGGAGTTCCCTGCAATATGACAATAGATACAGGAGCCAACGTTACCATCATCCGAAAAGATTTGGCTCAACAATTGGGAAGCAAACTTATCTGGACGCCGCCTTGCGTTACCCTCCAGACTGTATCCTGTGAGAAGATCGATATCGCGGGGAAAGTGAACGTTAATATCACGTTTGGAAGTGCCGCTTACCATCACATGGCATATGTAGCAGACGTTACAGATCCTTGCATACTCGGATTAGACTTTTTAAGGAAATATAATTTTTCCTTGGACTTTAAAAATAATGAATTGCATTCTGCGTCTGAGGACATAACGTTATTTGGAATTAATAATGAAGAAGTTAAATCTGTCCACAGAATCATAGCACAAGACAATATCACAATACCGGCAAGAACAGAAATTTTTACTTCCCTGGATCTATAGCCGAAAAAACAGAGATTTTCGCTACGGCATCATATAATATCCCAATAACTGTAATAGCCCGAAAGGAGTACTAGTAGCCTCAACACTCGTCGACCTATCGAGAATGGTTATTCCTGTGAGAGTTGCCAATGTAACTGAGAAGGCGAGAGTTATTAAGAAAGGCGACGTGGTTGCAGCATGTACTCCAGTAACCAGCGTTGAAAGAAAGAGCAACATCCCAGAACCCGTGTCCTCAGAGAGTATTACATACCATAGTATGTAATGTAAATAATTGTAAATAGTATAAGACCATGGTCCTTTTTGTTTTTAAATGTATATTTGATTTTATTTGTATTTGGTATTTGATTTGCATTTAGTATTTGATTTGTATTTTAATTGTATTTGATAGCATTTGATTTGTTTTATTTATTGCATTTATTGTTCATGTTGTTTATTATTGTAATATAATGCTTATTAATGCATTTATGACACAGTTGTAAGTTTAGCTTCCTATCCAGGGATTGTACTGCCCGGGACGTGCAGTCCTTGGGAAGGGGGCAGTGTTACGAATTTGGTATTTAAAAAGCTAATGTTAGTTCAATTATAAATTAAATGGTTTTATTTCTCGCGCAGTGCAGCGCGTGACGAATATTAAAAGAAAGCTAAGCCGGAAAATTGAAAATACAAGAGCGCGTGCATTAAATAAATAAATATCTCTTTTTGATTTCGAGAAAGTACTGGAAAATTCTAGCGCGTGATTTTAAAATCTTATAAAAGGAGGAAAACATCTCAGTTTGTAGTAGTTGCTTAGTTTGTTGTTGTTTAGAAAACTGCTCTTGTTGATTGTAGCGAATTCGCGGATTAGCCTTCTTTAGCTGTTTTGAATTACGTTCTATTGGACATTTGAGTAGTTAAAAGATAACTACTGTGAGATATTGTAATACTGCATGATAATTTGAGAAAATTTAAGCATTTTTGTTGTGATAATAATAAATTTCTGTTCATTTTCATCGGACTTGTGCATTCATTTCATAACGAACCCGTACGCACGCAACATTATTAATTGTGCCGAGATATTGCACTTAAATGCAACGTGTCAATGCTAATTTTTCTTATTTTTATTTACTGGTTTGTACTGTAAGGTAGCAGTAGCAAGATTATGATCCAAGATCTCGAAAAGCGTTTCAATAGAAACAGCGCATAATGGAATAAAATATAATTTTAGTTATATTTACTCATAATTTAGGTTAAAAGAATAGATATCCGACGCCCTTAAATGTTTATTGAATTGATTGATTGTATTGATTGTAAACATTTTTTTCTTGCAAAACAATTATCGTACTTTTAACAGTTTAAATTTAAATACAAATAAACTATTAATAAGATAAGTAGGTTATTTAAAATATATTCCACACAATTCCCCTTAGCTTTCATTCATAAAATAAAAAAAAATATAGAATGAAATATACGCTGTTTCTCCTCGCTGTACTGAAAGCAAGGAGGTTAAAAATAACCTCCTTGACTCTATTCTAACCTCCTTGACTGAAAGCCTACAAGATTTTTTTTGCGTTAATTACCACGCCTACAAGGCGATAACTCGCCATTCCAAATATGACCTACAAGCAGATGTTTCATCCAATGAGAGCAGACCCTAGAAGAAATGGTCTGTAGGCTTTGTGAATATGCCAGTGGGCAATCAAATCAGCCATTAGGTTTTATATCTACCAGTTTCATTTTCCTTAACATTTCGCTTCTGGATTCCTCGTATTTCTTACAAACAATGAATAATTGCATGTTCCATGCTGTCGATCAGTAAACACTTATCACAATAAGGAAAGTCGGGTCTTCGATATCTGTATAGGAGCTGCTTTGTATCTAGCATCCGCAGTCTTGCTTTACTAATTGTGACTTTCATTGCTCTACTAATGTTTGGTTTTTGGCTTCACTCTTTATAAACATTACAGTAGCTGAACCTGCACCCTATATAGGAGGTAAGCCAGCTATTGACATACTCATCTTCGATGCGCCAGTGAGGAAGCTACTTGCATCTTCTGCTGAGAGATCGTTTACCTTTTGGGCAATTTCCCCTCTTGCTAGCTTATCAGCATATTCGTTCAGTCCTACGCCTCTATGGCCTGGAACCCAGACGATATCAAGACAGTGAAGAGCTTTCATCAAACCATGCAAATTTAGGATGAGAGAATTCGACTTCCTATGAAAGCAGCCAGAGGGCCCAGGCCTCAGCAGAAAAAATAGAGCTCCTGGTATCGATGAGCTGATTA